TGTGTGTGTGTGTGTGTGTGTGTGTGTGTGTGTGTGTGTGTGTGTGTGTGTGTGTGTGTGTGTGTGTGTGTGTGTGTGAGGGGAGAGTGGGGGTGCTAAGACTTGCATATTTTGAGAGAAGTTTAAAAAACTGCTGAGAGAGCCAGGAGGGAATAGAATAGAATAGAAGGCCTTTAATGTCATCACACAATGAAGCATGGCGAAATTACAGCAGCTACCACTGAAAGGTGCATTTACTAAAAAGAAATCAAATATAACGGTAATGGGAGAACTGGGTGAGGAGATAATGGTAATGGGAGAACTGGGCGAGGAGACTGCAAACAAAAAGATATCAGGAGAAAAGAGGGCAACGATGAGGAAGCAGGCGAAGTTTAGATTGTGCAGAGATATGCAATAAAAGTGGCAGCCCAATAATTTGATGCATGCCTTCGTTGGGAACTGATAATTAATCATAATGGATAAAAATGAATAAATTCTAATAGTTGTAGCTAAAGAATAAATAATACAAAGTACTTGAAGCTGCATGGCTCTACAGACATATAGATGGACTGCACTTGGAGAACAGAGCAAATCATTATTTTAATTTTTCGTTTCTGTGAATCGAACAAAATGTGGTAAGACTCTGCTTCCACAAATGCCCTCTCCTGCCTTCTAGTGGACAAATTCTAGTATTGCATCCCACTTTTCAATCAAGTTGTAAGCTGCCCCAGATTCACACACAAAATATGAACATGTTTTAAGTATCATTTTTGTGGTGATGACCTGCAGCAGTGAATACACAGGTAATCCATCATTATCATACCAAACTTTAAAGACAATTAACCCCACATATACATCTTCACTGCAGGACTGTGGATGTGTGAAGAGCTGAGGGGGGATTCTTCTTTGAATTTTGTGAGTAGTGCATGAGTAGACTTTACAGATTGCAAAGTCTACTCATGCAAATTAGTGACTTGTGATATCAAGCTTTATAAATAAAGACTTCACTTCAATACTCCTGCTAGTTTAGTAATTGATAACAGCACCACTGGCTTGTTGTATTAAAAAAAGAAGAACAAGCAAAAAAGAAACATTGATGTGCTGATTACATTTGGTTCACAGAAAAAAAAATTAAAATAATGATTTGCTCTGTTCTCCAAGTGCAGTCCATCTATATGTCTGTAGAGCCATGCAGCTTCAAGTACTTTGTATTCTTTATTCTTTAGCTACAACTATTAGTATTTATTCATTTTGATCCATTATGATTAATTAGCAGTCCCCAACGAAGGCATGCATCAAATTATTGGGCTGCCACTTTTATTGCATATCTCTTCACAATCTAAACTTCGCCTGCTTCCTCATCGTTGCCCTCTTTTCTCCTGATATCTTTTTGTTTGCAGTCTCCTTGCCCAGTTCTCCCATAACCCTTACAATCCAACCACAACTACCTCCTTTTGCACCTCTTTGTGCACTGCTTTGTATAGTTACGTCTTTTTTCCTGTAAACATGTTATATTTATATTTGACTTGCTTCAGGAGCCCAGTAATGAGGGTGTTACAGTAATCCAGACAGAAAATGGCAACAGTTTGTAAAAATCCCTCATCAAGATGCGTCT